TTCTGTCAAAGACAACGAAACAGCGCTAATGGTTGGAGGTGGAGATGGGGCAGCGCGAAAAAAAAAATCAGCGTGTGTGTTGATGCGCAGCCTAGAGCCCTGCGCGGGACAGTTTTCTTAAGCCCGTTCCCGCTGAATTTCTGACCATTACCGCCCGCTCCTACAACGTGTGTGTCCCGCTCCTGCAAACATCCTAATATTGTATATAATTTTCGCACATCAGGGAGCCGCAATAAAATTGAAAACGCATTTGAATGAGCGCTCGCTGTTCACTTTCACTTTCGATTTTGCGATCACGTGCAAAGGTAAAGTTGCACAGGTACACGAGCTGTGTAAAGGGAGCACATCTTACAGCGTGTGCATAATTATGCCTAATAACATTGATATTCTGATCATATTTTTTTTCCAATCACATTTGACCAATTCCAAACCACATCCAGTGTTTCCCACAGACTCTATTTGTGCGCAATAAAATTGAAAACGCATTTGAATGAGCGCTCGCTGTTCACTTTCACTTTCGATTTTGCGATCACGTGCAAAGGTAAAGTTGCACAGGTACACGAGCTGTGTAAAGGGAGCACATCTTACAGTGTGTGCATAATTATGCCTAATAACATTGATATTCTGATCATATTTTTTTCCAATCACATTTTACCAATTCCAAACCACATCCAGTGTTTCCCACAGACTCTATTTGTGGCGGCATAGATGTGCAAATTGATTCTCTGCCAGCAGGAGGCACTTTTAGAGCGGGAGAGAAAGAGGTTTCCCCAGTAACATTGTACACAAAGCAGCGCTGAGCTCACAAATGCTGCTTTATCAGGCATTACAGGCAAGATGAAATGAAAATGACATTGAAAATGTTCTAAAGACAGTCGGTTTCCTTCAGAGTTACAGTGATATAAAAACACCCATGCCACGCTTTTATTTTGAAACGTGCAGCGCTCATGTTTATTCAACAAAGTAAAAGCCTTTTGAAAAATCTATTTGTGGCGGTCAGTTTTGATATTGTGGCGGGCCGCCACAGATAAATCAATGTATGGGAAACACTGATATTAATCTTAATAACTACTATTATTTTTGTATTTAATCATTTAGAAGTGATAAATAATTGTCCATGAAGTTTGGAAATGAAAAACTCCTTATTAATGTGTGCAGAATTATTAGGCAGGTTTTCTTTTACGGATGAAATGAGCCAAAAAAAGAGATTTAACTCAGATTGAAAAGTCAAAAATTATGAAATCCCCATGATAAATATTTAAAATTAATGCAATATAGAAATTTCAAAGTTAAGGCATGACCATCGGTCAGGAAAATGCTCATTGGGTCAGCAGGGTCAGAAAAAAGCAGGGGGAGAAGATAAGACGCATGTTAACTGCAAAATAATTAAGTGAAGAATTAAGTGTGAAACCATCAGGAACCTTTTAGTCTCCAGTGACACCCTTTTCCAGAACTGCAACCTTGAGTCTCCAGAATTACAAGGTGACAGGCTCTCAGAGACTTTACTTGGGTAAAAAAAAAAAGAAAAAAAAAGACCCCTGCTTTATAAGAATAACATTCTGAGGTGTTGTGAAATACATGAAGACTACATGTTTATTGGCTTTATGGACAGATAAGTTGAGAGTGAGATCCTCTTGTACCACTGTTTGAAGAATTTATCTTCCAGAGTCTGGCAGTAAGTTTTAGGAGCTATTTTTTGTCAGTCTCTGCAAGACACACTTTTCAGGATAGGAGATGGACTAAAAATGAACTCCCAAAGACCTACTGCAACATGGTGCTAAGGAGAAAAATTTAGAACTTGACAAATTGGAAAAACAGCTTAGTAAAAAGCGTTTACAGTTTAAAAGCAAATAGAAAGTCCTGTTTTTTTTATTTCTTTTCTTTATATTTTTGTTGCAGATTTGCACATGTACAAGGTTTAAAAATTTCATGAAATATTTTTTACAAATATTTACGTTTTGAGCAGCTGCATTCCTCTAGTCTAGGTCAAAGATGAAGAATGGGATTTACAATAAAAAGCAATTTACAAAATTATTTTGACTTGAGTTTATTTATTAATTAGTTACGTCTCTTTTGAGTGAATGTGCACATTTTTAATGTTAACAGGTTTGACCATGTTATTACAACATTTAACCACTTTTTATTAATTTAATAATTTTGAAATTCTTTCAAATTTAAATCTTGTACAAGAACTACAGCAAAAAGTAGTTTGATGCATATTTTATCAATATTTTAGAAATTGTATTTGAATATTACCAGTACTTACGTCAATGGATTTCATTAAATTCCTTTGAACACGACTGCTCAAAACGGTCTAAATGTATTAAACCTACACATTCCAAACATTATTACTCTGAAATGTTTAATGTAAATGTTAAGTGTAAGTGAAATGTTAAGTAACATTAGGTCTTTCATGACACTACATATGCTGTGGTGTGAATTTGATAGGTGCTTGATATAAAATAAATGGTGCTTTAAAAAGTCCTTGAATGTAGTGTTCATGAAAGAGTGGTAACCCTGAACTTAAGTATATTTTTCTTTAGCTTTTCCAGTAACAAGTTACGTTTAGCAATTTAGCATGAAAACACGCTACAGCACTGTTCTGTCTGCAGAATATTTTTACTCCCTACTTCAAATAGCTTTAGTGTTGAAATAGCAATTTGAAGTGAAGCTACTTTTTCAAAAGAGTTGAGTAGAAAAGGGTCAGTGGTTGAACTACTTCAAATTAGCAGCTTGTAGCTACCATGGTTCAGTTTCAAAGTAGCTTCTCTCACACTGCATTTGTGTTATATCTGCACCCTTTTTCATATTCTCTGCACTGAATGAGGGTAAAATTCTGCAGAATGTGTGTAAATATGGCCAGATGTGGTAAAGGGAGCAAAAAATGCTACACACTTGATTTTTTTTTTCTTTTTCAAAAAGGGGATTTCTGCAGTGATGCCATAGAAGAGCCATTTTGGCTTCCCACAAAGAAAAACAAAAATTCTTAGTATGAAGAATATTTTGAAACCCAGACTCATTGGAAAGATATGACTCCGCTAACATTTCTGCAAGACCTAAAATAAGTTGCTACAGGTACATTTCACTGCATTTTTGTTTGTATGCATACATTTTTTTTTTCGTTTTTCAGAAATGTACACGTCACATGTGAGTCACATATTTCCAGTGAGCCTGAGTTAAAATTTTAACAATCTGAAGAATCTTTTTGTGCAAAGTGCTTTGGAAAGGTTCCATGGATGTTGAAGGTTCTACACAGATGCCAAAAAAGAATCATTTTTTAAGAGTGTACACTTTATTGGTAGCTGCAAATGATTCTGCATGCTAGCCCAAGTATTTAATACAAACTGTAAACACACAAGGGAGGGGAATATGTAGAACTTTGTGACAGGCAAAATCATCATACGACAGTTACTCAGTGGCACGGATGGCATCTTAAACTAGGACAGGATATAGGTATATATGGTCTTTAACACCGCAAACTCTTTGTTCCTTTAGGTCATATCTCTGCTGCGGACAGTTCTTCAGAACCCACAGCTGCTGGATAGCCACAGCGTAAACACACATTTGTGCATCTCTGTTTTATAAAAAAAAAAATCTCTCCATACCCTCTCATTCCCACGGCAAGCCAGCTGGTGCAGATTTTCCCTGGTTGCCGTCTTGTCTGCCTCATGGGCTCGTCCTGCTCACAGGACGCAGTTTGATTGGGCAGTGGTCAGGGGAACGGAGATTAGTAACTGGATATATAGAGCAGGGGACTGCTGGGAAGACTCCCTGTCATCCGGTGAAAACCTAGGACTCTGCGGTCGCAAGGCATGGTCAAGGCACAAGCCGCAACCCCTGCTGTCACCCCGTTTGTTGCGACCGCGCTTCGTTCAGACCCCTCATTTGCCTGCCACTCTCTCTGTGTGTGACTCAGTTGGATCCTAGTCGTTTTGGCCTGACAAATAAGGGGCTACTTCACCACCATAGAGAGATACGTCTCTTCCCATGGCAGAGAAAGGACAGGCCCAGTGGGACCTGCCATTACGAACGCCCAAAAGGGACCTTAAATGGCACACCATATCTGAACTACGACACCAGCTCATGTGGGGACGTGGTCAGAGCTACTTGGCAGCTCATTGGTGTGGCTGGTCATAATTAGAGTGTGAAAAAAGTGAGACCTCGAGAGGAAACTGGTACCATGAATGAGGCTCTGGGAATCTGACTTCTTAAGCCGCTGGGGACGTGCTGGGATCGGGATGTTTGCGGGCAGAAGATGTCTCCCAGATGTCCGGCTCCATTGTAACCATATTCACCCCTCCTTCTTTAAAGGGACATTCACTACATGCTTCTTAAACATGAAGGACAAACAAGACAACACAGGATGAATGAACTATGGAGCAATTGTTTGTTTACAATATCTCTAGGTCAGACCGCTTTTAGCCTACGGGTCTCCACACGAGTGGCTCTTTCAAGAAAACGTCTATGCTGTGACTGGCCAAGTGTAAACGTTCTATGAAGAGGTTTTTAAAGTGCTTCCCCTCCCCAGCATGAAACATTGTTGGAGCTACAAAAGACCCACCTGCTAACAAAAGACAAGAAGAGATGAGGCAAGATGGGAGAGGTCAAGAAAGGTCAGACAAGATTTTGTGCACTCCTCACTTAGACTAAAGAGGAGGAAGGGCAGGTGCAGTGAAGACAGAGGTTTTACAAATTAGTGCTCGGGTCAAAGGTCAATTGCAAATCAGCCCTGTTGGGCTTAACTTGCAAGTTTAAGTGGATTATAATGGAAAATGAGATATGCATTTAGACTTATTAAAAAATGTGTTTACTGATTGCTCAAGACTATCTAATGATACTGTATGATATAGTACTAACGTGATTATGACTTTCATTCTCAGTGCAATCATATGACACAAACAAAAGATTGACCTGGATGTAATTACATCAAAAAATAATTCACAAAAGTTGATTTTCTTGTTTGTTTTCATTTTTTTTATTCATTTTTTTACATCCTCCTGTGGATGGAATTACCAAATTATGAACAGATATAGTGACAAAACATTTGAATAGACTCACAATTTCATAATGGACTGCAAAATATAAAGATTTTTTTGCATCATTTCATAAAATGCCACTGAAATTACAAATACACTGAGTATTTAACAATGAACAAAACATACACGCGCATATATCCATAGAAATTTACGGAAATACCTGCACCAAAAAAGGAGGGGAGGGAAAGAAACAAAGGGGAAAAGGAGAAAACCCTGCTATGATATTCAATATTGTAGAAAAACAGAGGACAAAACATTTGTCTCATTTAAAACACATATACAGAAGAGCTCAGTATCCTTATACTTCAACACTGTAAACATCATTTAAAGACAGTGTCATAGTTATTTTTTTATTCCAATTATTTTTTTTACCTCCACTGTCAATAATTCTCTATTCCATCTAAACAAATCAGTAAAGAAATGGCTTAGTAATTTCTCAAACAAATCTGTGCGTTAAGACTTCCCCTTAAAAATGAAGCACACTTTACATTTCCCAAATAAATGAACAGTCATCTTTATGACTTAATTTGATTTGATTCCTCTTAATGAATTTTAATGATACTGGTTAAGATAGTTTGTTCATGGATTGTTTTTGTCCGCTGTATAGCAAAAATCTGAACTACATCAGAAAATAAAGGCTGAATATTATTTTGAGGCACATCCGTGTTGTCTGGTTATGTCTGTCTCCGAAAGCCATTGGTAGCCATTGACACGCTTTCTTGACTACAACACATTTCCTCTTGATTTTCTTTCAAGTTATGGCCACTTCCTGTCATTTACGCAAAGAGAGGTTTGCCAGTTTGCTGAGTATCTGACAAGTAGGTGATAAACTACACATCCTTATTTAAAAAAAAATATCCTTGTCCTTGTGCTGGACTTTTCTTTATGATGTAATCTGCTGACTGATTTCGAGCGGGCAACATGTGCAGCCGTAGCTTAAATTAACCTTTCTATTCAAGTCAAAAATCAAATGTAAACTGTAAATAGCCATGAACATGAATGGCAGGATGTTGTAAATAGTGAATATGCACATAGAGGACAGTGGTGTATGTGGGGTGGAGGCGAAGGCTGTGGTGTAAATATAAGAGGTGGAGGTGATTCAGTGAGTAGGAACAGTTGTAAGGAGGAAATCATTCAATCATAGGATCCTTTAGAGGACAGCCAGTCACCCAGGGCTTCCAGAGAGCCCCAACACAATTCAGTGATTGCAGTTTCAGCAATGCACAGAATGGTGCGTATAATGCTGCTACAGCTTAATGGCCTGTGTGTGTGTGTGTTTACTCAAATGATTTCTACAGGTGCGCACCTGTGCTTTTATATTGGTGTCCAAATAGCTGCTAATTCATTGTTGCTTTCATGATTGATTTGTGAATGAACACGTTCCTTTAATAATTGAATAGGAATGCCACATTTAAAAAAAAAAATCTCCATATGAGACTATGATAACAATTTGATGTAACAAGTCTATGGCTTTCCTTAACAAGTGAATCCAGGCTGAATTAGCCAAGACCACAAAGTAAACATATTATAATACCATTAACATATAAAAGGATTTGACCTTGTACAAGGTTTGGAAAGCATTCGAACATAATTAATGGATAGATGAGGTTGGAAGAAATGGCATGGATGTCAGTTTGAGTGAATGTAAATATTTTGATCTTTAAAAATAAAATCTGGGCTATAAAAAAAATGTCAGCCTTTTGAAAAAAATGTCTTAGAAATGCAACACTGGTGCCCTCAACACTGTTTATATACAGGAACCATAATAATGTAGAGGAAATATAGTCATTTTTGATGTCATTTGCATGTTGATGAACTTTCATTTCATTTAATCTTTTTCATTTCAAAGGTTGTCAACAGAAAATCATTCAGATGCAGTCAAACTGCTGCCTTAAAACATCCCTGGGTTTTTTGCCCCTTAAAATTGTTTAATATTTTATTGTCAAAGTGACATTCAGTGCTTTAAATATGTCTACTGAATATAAGCCATGATGAGTGGGGCCATTGACAGCAACAATAACATGAAAACTTTCTCAGATTTTTAGAAGTTGACCTCTTCTTTAGAAATTACCAATTTGTTTCCTTTGAGGAAACTAGTTTATAACACAAAACTGGCTGAATGCCAAAATCTCAGTATTTGTCATATCATAAGATGGGGTGTAGAAATATAATTTCAGGAACTGAATGCATTAGAAACCCATCGATAATGTACCTGCACATGCCATGTATCATTACAAATAATCCAATAAATACAGAAATTATTGCACAGTAGAAAGGCTCCATGAATTCCTAATGGACTACTCCTCTGTTAGTTGCTGGGATATGCAAGACAGGTTTTAGAACCGCAGACTAGCATTTCCCTGTGTTCTTGTTTCTCAGGTGGCAGTTCGGTTTCACTAAAAAAAAAAAAGAAATTAAAATTACTCCAAAAAATATTTAGTCAAGAAAAAGACTATCCAGCTACACCCATAATGCAGTGCATTGGTAAGTGGTCTCAAGCTCTGTCAGCCTGCTCAAGTTTGACCTCATTGGTCAGCAAATGCTCTCCATGCCACTTCTTCATGTGTTTTTCCAGGGTGCTGTACACGCTAAAGGGCATGTGGCAAATATCACAGCGATACACCTCTCTGCCAAACTGCCCATGGGTCTTCATGTGCCGGGTAAGCTTGCTACTCTGGGCACAAGCGTAGCTGCACAGGTCACACTTGTAAGGCCTCTCACCTGTGTGGCTGCGCCGATGCACGGTCAGATTACTGCAGTTCTTGAACACCTTACCACAGTACTCACAGGTGTCACTCCGTCGACTCTCCTTGGAGGGTGGTCTCCCTGGCCCAGGACCACGCAGCTGGAGGTGAGGTGTGCTGCTGCCACTTCGCCCTGACATCCCACCGCCTTCCAGAATTTCCCCTGGAGGGGTAGAGAAACGCAGGCTGCCTGTCTCAGATGAAGAGTGCTCGGAAGAAGTGCCAAAAGGTGATTGCCTGGAGTCGTTAAAGCCCAGGAAGGGCTCCCTTTTGAAGTGGTGGGATGCAACATAACCAGCAAGCAACTGAGAATACACATTTTCAGGGGATATGATGGGCACCTGTGGCAGCTCCACATCCTTCTCTACCTTGATCCTCTTGGCGGAAGACCCAGTGAGGCTGGAGCTGGAAATAGGCATTGGCTTCCGGTGGAACAACGATGAGATGGAATCATCCGGGCCGCAGCCTCTGCCATTCACCATGGGCCCCCTTTCTCTCTCAGTCTCTCTGGATGCCGAATCTGTGTCCATCTCCTCGCATGGCCTGTTGCCCGGTGGCCGTCTGAAGTGATTGTCAAGGTTGTTGTATTGGCTTTCTGTCACTCTGTCAGTGGTCATTGGTTTCTCCTCTCGGGAAGGTCTTGGGCCATTGTCTCTGTTTCTGCTCAACTCTGAGTCCATACTCAGGTTGGACTCAGGCCTGCTCCCATTTTGCTGTTGTTCCTCTTCTTCCTCCTCCTCCTCCTCTTCCTCCTCTTCTTCTTCTTCCTCCTCCTCATTATCCAATCCCTCCCTCGTGCCATTATCATCACTGTTCTTAAGCCCCTCTCCAGCAGAGTCTTGCCCTCCCTGCTCAGGTGAACTCCCCATGGAGCCTGATTTGTGCATGTGTGTCTTCATGTGGCGCTTTAGCTTGCTGGCCTGCGAACATGCATGGTCACAGAGATGACACTTATAGGGTCTTTCACCAGTGTGACTACGTCTGTGCACAATCAAGTTGCTTTGGAACTTGAATGTCTTGCCACAAAACTCACAGGACTTGGCTTTGCCAACTTGATTTAGTGGTGGTGAGGAATTGCCTCTGGATGGAACTGATGGTGGCTGTGAGGGTGTGGTTAGAAAAGGTAGAGGTTTGGAACCATGCTGGAAGAGAGTGGGGCTGAGAAGCCGATGCATGGGGGGCACACGGTTAGGTGAAAGAGGGGGAGTTGGACCACCATTATTGTTGTTGCCTGCCAGTTCACGAAGGCGCTGAGAGAAGCCCATGGATGGTTCAATGCCCATGGGTGTCAGCCGCATCACACGCTCAAAAGCACTTGGATGCTGGGACAGGAGACCCATCTCCTCAGGGCCAAGGCGTTCCAGAGGATAGCGGGGTGGTGGAGGGCTTACAAAGGGCGGGGTAGATGGCAAGCGGGTTTCAATGTATCCAGGTGGTGGAAGATCTCGTAGCAGTGGGGCACCCATACGCAACAGTCGGAAAGGGTTGCTGCCATCACCCAGAAAGCTGGCTAGAGGGGAACGGGGGAAGGCATCAGCCCCCAGTGGTGGAGGAAGGGCCATACGAGGGGTAAGTGAGCAACTAGTAGGGTAGGTGTCCAGGTAGATGCGTATCCCGTGGGTGTTCTGTGCATGCTGCAGCAGAAACCATGCACTGGTAAAGGGTTGCTTACAAGTGGTGCAGATGTAACTGGAGGGCTCATCTTTTCCTGGAAGACACAAAACAAGTGTACGGCATTAATATATACATATTAGTTATAAACTATCTGATTTGGTGCTAGGGGAGGTTGAGATAGCACACTTTAATAGCTTTCCATGTCATTTGCGCATCTGTTTGTTCTTTGTGATGGCTTTGAATGTAATCAAAGCTAAGAGTCCTCTATGGTGAGGTTCATGGATCATTTCTGTTTAAAAATTAAACAGGCAACATGTGAAAGACATCTCATTGTGCGCATTGTGGCGACAGCCATTTTATAAGATTGAATGAAAATTACATCACCCTAAGAGGGGAGACAAGAGCTCTCTGATAGCCTAGCGGGTTATCTACTGTGCGGCAGGGCCGGCTGCTCTCTAAAGCTGTGTCAAAGAGAATCTGCCTGTATGTGACTCACTCAGAATCGGAGTCACACTAGGGGGTTAGTGAGAGCAGGGAAGCTCCCTGAAGGCTGGAGCCTAATGCAGATGGCAGGTATCGCCCACAGGCCACATTGCATTGTGCTAATGCTAATGTCAGTCAGACGTTAATATAGAACTCCCCGTTCAACACCCCGACACCCCCACCCTTCACTTTTTCCATATGGAGATAATTCTTTGGCAAAAGAAAGAGAAAGAGAGGATTAAAAGAGAAAGAAAATGAAAGGGAATCGTGTTGATAGGTCCATACACTGACATAGTCAGGAGCACAGTTAGCTACTGACTAATTTACATTTGTGTGATATGATATTTTCAGTGAAATGCACTTTGCAAATGCATGCCAATGCAGTCATGTGCATGATTTCACACTGAATAAAAATTCATATTAACCACAAAAACTTTCACGGTAGTTTTTTTCATAGTATATTGTTGCCTGAAAAACACCTGACTGATGCAGAGAAGAGAAAGTGAAGGTGTGTATGACAGGTCCACAGCCTGTGTTTGGTTCGGCTGGCCTTTAAATGGACACCTGGCAGGAGGGATTTTGGATGCTAAGAGAGTAACAGAGAGAGAGGCTGAGGGGACATGAGAAAAGAGGTGACGGAGATTAGATACTAAAATAGAGACAGGCTGTTCATTTTAATTTTCAGGCCCTGGACAGGAGCCCAAATCTGGATAAAATCAACAATGGACATATTCTGCACCCAACTCTAGTTCCATAAAAGCTTCATTAACATCCCATATTCTTCTGATGGCTGTACAGGACTCAACATAATGTGGGATGGAATAAAAGTGTAAAATAGAGCATTCGTTCATGCACAAATATATGCATTTGTGTGTGTGCGCTCGCGCTCTTACCCCGACATTACTGTGTGCTTGAGCTATTGCAATTTGCATCCTATCACATCATACAAAAAACACCATATGTTACTAAGGGACCGTGTCAGCTAACAGACAGGCAGACTTAATGACGATCAAAGACAAATTTCATCAACTTTCCAAACAAGCCAGAACGAGGGAGAGAAACCCATAGTGAATAAGTTAGGATATGCTAATGACCCATCAGAGATCCATGTCTTGTGACAGCAGCTTGTGTGGCATGATGGTGTGAAATTACCCATCAGGCACCTCAGGAACACAAATCTCCATCTGATCATGGTCCATTGGGTCCTACTGTGTGTGTGTGTGCCACACTACAGAGGCCTGGGAGGGCCATGTCACAGCAAAGAGCTCCAGCCAATAAAAGTGCTCATTACGGAATCATCGCTGTTCGCTCTGTGATTCAATTTGCAGTAATTACCACGGTCCGCATCCATGAAACGTTCGCTGCGGGCCGCAGAGGTCAACTGCCAGTTAACAGATTGTCTTTTCTCCTCTCAATGTATTCAATTGCAAGAGCCTAATAGCCTCATTTTCTTCCCTCTTGCACTTCAATAAATATTGCCGGGATTACAGGTTAAACAGTTAAATTGAGTTGTGGCTGTTATATTGCAGAGCTGGCTGTTGGTGTGCATGGTGCTAACAACTCTGCAGCAGTGTCCTCGTTACGTTAAACAGCGCTAGGATGTCTATGTGCATGTCTTTGTAAGTGTGTGTGTGTAGGAAATGTGATTAATGACACACTAGCGTCTGCACGCAGAGGCGGTCTTACACTAAACTTATCCACCCTCTTGGGTTTAGTATTACAAAACCTCACGGCCAATTAGTCCATCCTCAGGGACCTCCAACCTGGGTTTAGATATGTTGATTTCAACATTTTGTGGCAATTAATTTCCTTTTAAGAGAATGAATGCAGTGACAGAGGAGTGAGGAGGAGGGGCTGAAGGGTGTTTTTTAATTATCTGTGAACAAATCTGGCAGACTTGCGAGCACTGCTGTTTCACAAGGGAAACAACATTAGCGTTAGCTACTGCTGTCTCCGGCATTACCCGAGCATGAACCAATCACTTACCGAAGCTGGACTTATGGAACAGTCATGTGATGATGTGCGAATGTGATGATGAAACTCGTTTGACGCTGTCACAATGCAAGGACATATGTGTGTGCGATAATGTGCAGCTCGTTTGGTAATGTCGCAATGCAAGGACATATGAGCATGTGCGAATGTGTGAAACTGGTTTGATGATGCCACAATGCAAATATATGCATGTGTGGAAATGTGTGAAACTCCTTTCGGGATGTTACAATTCAAAAATATATGTGGGAAAATGTGTGCAACTCTTTTGATGGTCACATCGCAACGATGTGAATGTATGAATGTGTGCAACGTATTGTCACAATGCAAAGACGTGTGCAATGTGTCCAACTCATGTCATGATGTGAGTGTGTGCAAATGCGTAAAATTTGTGACAAGGCATCTATGCATGTGCAAATGCATGCAACATGTTTGGTAATCATATCGCAAAGGCAAGAGTGTGTGCAACTTTTGTATGCCACAACGCAAGGACATATGAACATATGCAAATGTGTACAAATTTGTATGACAATGAAAAGGCATTTATGTGTGTGCAAATACGTGCAACACATTTGGTAATCATATCGCAAAGACAAGTGCATGTGCGAATGCGTGCAAGTTATTTTAAGATGTCACAACGAAAGGACATATCAGCATGTACAAGTCGTGAAACTTGTGTCAATGCAAGGGCTTATATGCATGTGCAAATGCGTGCAAAACGTGTGCAACACATAATATCGCAAAGACAAGTGCATGTGCGAATGTGTGCAACTTGTTTGGTGATGTCACAACGCAAGAACATGAGGGCATGCATACAACATGTTGGGTCGCATGCATTTGCACACAAATAATGCCCTTGCATTGTCATATGAGTTATACTTGTCATATTGCAAAGACAAGTGCATGTGTGCAAACTGTCTGATGATGTCACAACGCAAGGATATATGATCATGTGCAAATGCATACAATTTATATGATGATGTCACACTTCTATAATTGCAGTGGAACATCATATGTGCATGTGTGCATGTGTGTTGAACTCGGGCATGGCATTCTAAAAGCTCTGCCACTTGAACCTGCTACATTCCTAGCTGTCGAAAGCCACAGCAGTGTATTTGCATAGAGAACAAAGGACGAGGTGATGCCATGGGGACTACGACACGCCTTTACTCCCCTCCGGACCCCCCCCCCCCCCAAACGTCCCCTCTGTGCACCTGTCACAAGCCTGGCTGACACCTCACACCGCAGTAACACGGGCCCTCATTAGCATGCCTGTGATCTGGGGCTCCCAGGGGCTTGTGGGGCCTCACCTCGCATCACTGATGTCTTGTTTGTGATGATCGTGGCTAATCGGGGGGCCAGACCACTATGCTAATGAGAAACACAGAGGTGCAGCATTCTGTGTAGTGCAACTCTGCTGTCGTGCAACCAACACACTCTAGGGGATCGGTGATGTGATTTAGATATGAGTGTTTGTGTGTGTGAGGGAGCTAAACAATGTCTGTGCTGCTATGGAAAGGGTACCATACAAATTTGTCTTTTTTTTTTACAAACTTTTGAAGTATTGCTGATTCTTTAAGTCAATTTGGGTTAACTGTGCTATTTCTATGCCTCTAGTGGTACCAAATGTAACTGCAAAAGTAATGACTGTTTTCCGACAGGTTTTCTGTACACTTCTCCTGTCTGTTATTGAATGGTTAGACAGATAGCCCCGCCCCAAAATCATGCCATTGGTTAAATCATCATTACTATGTAGGGTTGGTCAGGATGGTCAAAACAAACATGCATTGATGATGCCACAGTTTACACTTTCTACACTTCTCTGGGAAATCAACATAAAACTGACAGCTGACTCCATACATCTTAAGATTTAGGAATTTGAACACCTAAAAATTACATAATACAACTTTCAGATTTACAGATGGTTGACTGTCTATCCTTCCTTTACTGTTTCTCTCTGTCTGTCTGAATTTCTCTCAGTCCTCATGATAGATGTGACTGTCCATTGATTGAGCTGTGAGCCTTGACAGACCATCATATTGTCTTTGATAAATGATTATGACAATGAAATAAAAGATTCTGGCAGGAAGACGATGAGTGGAAAGCCAGACCACATGCTGGGGCCAAAACCACCATACCGGTTTTCTGAGGGGAGTCTGATATTTTCATGTAAAATTCCAGAGCCTGCAGTGATGTGTGTGTGTGTGTGTGTGTGTGTGTGTGTCTGCATCCTCTTTGATGTGCTCTGCCTCTGCGTGTGGGAAATAAACTCCTAAAATGTAGCTTTAATAAATTGAAATATGTCTTGTTTTCAAGTAAACCTATTTAAAATTCTAAAATCAGGATGAATATACTAGAGAAATATAATTGTATTGTACATTAATAAATACAAAAATGCCCAGAAAGGTTCATGCTCAAAACATTTTCAATGAGCTAAGAATAATAAGCTAAACAATATCAATATTCCCTGAAAACAGGATATTAACTTATATTAAGTTACTAATTTTGATTCTCAAGTAAATTTATTTTAGGAATATTTACACTTTATAAAATAAAACAAACGCAAGGATTGAGAAAATGATTTTTGTGGTGCAAATGTTTGTTGGCCTAACAAGAAACCAA